GCGATCAGTGAACACGTAGTAGACCACGCGCTGGCCCACCATGAAGTACTGCTCGGCTGTCTCCAGAAAGCGCGCCAGGTACTTCTCCAGGTACCTGCAAGGGGTGGGGGTGGGGTACCTGCATGGCCTTGACCCTCCTCCTTACCCCCTCCCCGCTGTCCTCTCCCCTCCCCTCCACTCCAGCTTTCCTGCTCCTCCGCATTCAGGTCCTTGTGACCTTGCAACCTCAGTGCCTGGAGCTCCTGATCCTGCAAGCCATTCAAGGTGATTGCAAATTGTTTGCCACTCCTGCCCCAGGGGCCCTGTCTTCCTTCCCTTGAACACGGGCTGTCCCTGACCACGGTACCAAGGAAGTGGTGCTGCGCTGGCCTTCAAAGGACTGACCGTGTTAGCCTTTGTCTCTTTAGGGCTCTGGGCCTTTAATAAGTTCCACATTTGGATGTTGTATTGATGTGAGGAAGCCCAAACCAGCCATGCAGAGAGGCAGTGTGGAGAGAGGTGCCCCACCAGTCTTTAGCAGTGGGCTATCCCAGGAGAGACCCAGACATTGGGGGGCAATGGAACACTTCCTGTGGAGCCCTGTTGGAATTCCTGGCCCACAAAATCACGAGCTAGAATCCTTTCCTATATAATAAAAGGCTAATATGCAAATCAACTGAATAGTGGAAAGACTGACCACCAGGGGGCAGACGCCCAATACAGGAGCTGCCTTCTAGTGGTCAGTGCACTCCCACACTGGGAGTGCCACTCAGCCAGAAGCTGGGTTCACTGCTGGCCAGTGCAGCGGCAGTGGTGGGAGCCTCTCGGGCCTCTGCAGCAGCACTAAGGCTGTCCGACTGTTGGCTTAGCCATCAGTCAGATGTCCCCCAAGGGCTCCAGGACTGCGAGACCCTCTCCACCACCACCACCACCACCACCACCACCAGTGCATGAATTTTGTGCACCAGGCCTCTAGTAATAAATAATTGTTGTCTTAACTCCCTGAGTTTGTGGTAATTCCTTATCAGGACATTTGTAATATTAGAGACTGTATTAAAAGATTTTGGGATCCCAGGTTCTGAAATAATAGTAATAATGCCTAATATTTTTGAACATTTATCATGTGGCAGACAGTGTTCTAAGTCGAGCATTTAATCCTCACCATTTATTATTATCTCTATTTTTCAGGTGAGGAAAATGAGCCACAAAGAGATTTCATGCCTGGTGCAAGCATACACACAGGTGGTAAGTTACAGAGCTATGATCCGAACCCAGCTTGGCATTCGGGCCAGAGCTTTTACCTGCACTTGTTCTATTCCTGGTAGGTCTGTGAGGAACTGGAAGGAAACCTTACCCTCCCAGGGTGTTAGACTCACAAAACCTTGGAATTCAGGACCTCAAGGCCCTGGAATTTCTGGACCCCAAGATTCTGCCCCCTACGGCTGGTGCAAGAACACCTTACTCAGTATCCAGAATAGAAGTGGGAGCACAAGGTTCTGCCCACCTGGCTGATGGGTCAGCCCTTAGTCCTGTGTGCCCCCTAACTCCCAGGCACCGTCTTGGCTTTCTCTCCTTTCTGGATTGTGGAGTTCAGAGTTCTGGGGTATTTGATAACAGAATTCCTTCCCCCCGTTCTCTTCCTGGATGCTAAACTCTCACTGCCTTCCCCAAGCAGTCTGTTTCATTAGTACAAACGCTTCCTTTAACTGCCCTGAACTCTACCTCCGGGTACCTACTTAGGGTTACATCCAGTTGTCCCCTTTGCATCTGGAGAGTGGGCACCCCGCTTGGATAGCTGCCATCCATAATGGGGGTGTCAGTGCCCCTGGGATTTCTGCTCCACCTCCCACTCGGCTTCTCCATACCTCAGACTCCTCCCCTACAGTGATTCTGTCCTCTACCCTCCTCAGTCACCTATCCCCATGTCTACTCCCTTGGCCTGGTCATCATCAGTCTGTCCTACTCTGTGATCCCCCGCATCCTTCTGGACCACTTCCTGTGATCCCCCTCCCCCAACAGTCCCACCCCACTGATGCTCAGGTTTGAGCCCCTTTCTCAGCATCCCCCTCCTCTCTTCACTTCCCTCTCTACCCGGCTCAAGATTCACTCCCTTGCAGAAACGCTCAGCTCGCCAGCCCCTTTCCCTCCATCAGGCTTGCTTGGCAAGCCTCCACCCTCCCCTTATCGCGTGCCTGCATCTGCCCACTGACCTCCAGTGGGCACTTACTGCAGCCACCCCATTTCCTCTGTTCACCCATCTGCTCTCCCCTCGTCTCACCATTCTCTCTTCATCATTTTCTCACCACAAACCCAGTGCCTCCAAATGGACAACCAGCCCCATGGCAGGTTCTTCACAGGACATGGCGTTGAGCCCCTGGCTGCCTGTGCTGGGTGGGCTGCACAGTGTTAGTGTCCGGGAAGGACAGGAAGGGGATGAATGGGATGGGGGTGCTGTCTTTGCCTCCTGCATCACCCTGGGATCCTCTGGCACAGGGAACAGGGAGCCCCACTACCCATATCACATGCACACACCCCCTCCCCCTGATTGACAGCCCTGCTCCCCTCCCCAGGCCTTACCTGCCTACAGCAAAGACCGTCAGCCCTATGGTGAGGTTCTGCTGTATAGCCTCTTGCTGGGCCACATCTGGATCGAAAGTGCCATCCCAAACAATGGGGGCCCCCCAGGAGGTACAGGTCAGGACTTCAGGCCGGGCCCTGGCCAGAGCAGGGGTGGGAGATGGGGTCCATTTGTCCACCCACTTGGTGATGCTCACTGCCATCTCCCCATGCTGGGCCCTAGAGACCCCCAGGTGGGGCATACCCAGTCCCTGGCCCAGAACCAACACAAACGGAAGATCCAGAGATGTGCAACCCGCTGGGCCCTTGGGCGGAGAGCCTGGCTCTGCCAGGGTAGGGGGTAGGAGGGCAGGGACGCTGGGGCACATACTGCAGGGCATCATGGGCAATCTCAGAGGGGGAGGGACTGTGTCTCCTTACCAGAGATGCAGGAGACCTGTGAAGTTGTCCCTCAGCAGGGGCATTCTGGCCAAAGGGCAGGTGCCCATGGGGATGAAGGTTTCCAGGTGCCTGTTGGGCGGGGGCAGCCATGAGGGGCAGGCCAGCTGGCTCAGCAGCCCTGCTCCTTACGGGGAGGGAGAGCCAAGGACACTGGAGTGGGCTGGGATGGTCACCCTGCCAGCCCTCAGGGGATGCTTGGCAAGACCCACTTGAGTCCCATCCCGGAGGGCCCGCCCGGAGCGCTGGGGAGAGGAGGCTGTACCTGACGGCAGGGAGCCCGTACAGGAGCAGCCCTGAGAAGCTGACTGCCAGCAGGATCAGCCACCAGAAGGTCCTCTTCCAGGCCCTGGGGAGGGGGAGGGGCGTCGGCAGCACACGATTTACACGTGTGTTTATGTTTATCTGCACACAGAGCTCTGCACACACGTATGAGAAACCATCTGTGCAACTTAATGTTTCATTTTATTATTGTTATTATTAATAATACGAATATATTCACACGGTGTATTCAAAGATACACGAGTATACACAGTGCCAGGTCCTTCCTGTTCCCAGACACCCAGCTCCTCTGCGGGGAGGCAGCCAGTGTCGCCAGTTTCCGGTGTGTCTTTCCAGAAAGAGGCTGTGCCCAGGCAGGCAGTGTGGTGAATACAGTAGCAGATTCTCTACCCGCCCCGCCCCTCCCTCTTTCTTTTTCTTTTACCCTGGAATGGTTTTCATCTCCTCCTCTTTCTTTCTCCCCACAGATGGTAGCACAATAGATAATTCTGCATCTTGCATTTTCCACTGACATAATGTCTTTGAGGTTATTCCATCTCAGGACTTGAATCGCTTCCTCACCCTTCTTTCCATTGATGGGCAATAGCATAACCTATCTGACCAGGTCCCTTCTAATGAGCATTTAGATGTATATCCTTTGCTTTTGCCAGTAGTGCTGTGTGGGGGGTGGAGGGGGCCCGGCCTCGGGCAGGTTGTGGGGATGCTAACATTAGGTGTGGGGTGTTTAGTCTGGGAAGGGGCTGGGACTGACCTTGGTTGGGAGAGAGTCTGGGAGGGGAAGCAGGGAAGTTTGTGACTGTGGCTAGGAGGCGAGAGCTGTGTAGGACTTGGGGAAGAGTCGCCGGGCTGCGTGGAGGGCAGCTGTGGTCAGGGACTAGGCGTCTGTCGTGGCTGCAGTCACGGGGCTGGTTCCTCCAGCAGAACTCAGCAGCCCCGTTCCCGGCTCAGAGGAGGTGGACTCGGATTTGTCCGTGGCTGGTTGTTTTCCAGGAAGGGGGCCAAGAGTTGAGAATCTTAATAAGCTCCTTCTGGGGGTCTTGTCCAGCTCCCTGCATCTCTGATGTGTGCCCCTGTCTCTGGAGAGGCTGGACCCCTATGGTGAGAAGCAGAGACACTAGGTCCACACCCTTGCGGTTCGAATCCCAGCTCCACTGCGTTTTAGCTGCCTGAGCAAGGGCAAGGCTTTGGACGTCCTCACTTTAGTCTCCTCATCTGTAAACGGGATAAGAATACCTGCCTTGGAGGGTTGTCATGGTTACTGAGTTATCACGTGCTAAGTGAAGAGAACAAGGCTCACACATACTAGTAAGCTGTAGCTACTATTATTATTCCTGAATAGAGAGTTAATAGTAGTGTTAGTGTACCTCCTCTGCCCCTGCTCTTCCTCCAGCCCCTCAGTGACCCTGCCTGCTCACCCCTCACCAGGAGCATTCCCGCGGCAGCTCTGTGCTTCGTCATTCCCCACACGGCCCCCAAACATCTCACAGAACACCACCTGCCTTACCAGTTCCACCGCACATGACCAGGTAAATCCTCAAAGAAGAAATGCATTTAGTAGTCAAACATGGAAGAATGCTCACCCTCACTTGTAATCAAAGACATGCAAAATAGGACAAGGTGGTTCTAATTTGCCTATAAAATGAGCTCATTTAGAAAAGAAAAAAGCCTGCTCTCGTGGCTCAGGGGTTGAGCATCAACCTGCGAACCAAGAGGTCACAGTCCAATTCCCAGTCAGGGCACATGCCCGGGTTGCGGGCTCCATCCCCAGTGTGGGGTGTGCAGGAGGCAGCCCATCAATGATTCTCTCTCATCATTGATGTTTCTATCTCTTTCTCCCTCTCCTTTCCTCTCTGAAGTCAATTAAAGTACGTATTTTTTTAAATTAAAGAAAACTTAGCCACGCTGCAAGAACACAGTGAGTTGGGCCCTCTCGCACTTGCAGCTCTTGAGGAAAGCTCCTTAGCTATGGGGATGGATGCTTTCAGTCTTCATCCCTTTAATCCAACAACCTCAGCTTCTGGGATTCTGTTCAAAGGAGATAATCTTCAGCATGGAATAAGTTTATGCATCAGGGTGTTCACTCGTTTCTCCTCATGCATGCATTCCACCTGTATTGATGGGCACATGCTCAGAATCAAGCACTGTGCTAGGTCAGGGTTCAGAGGGCCTGTCTTCAGGGAGTGAGTCAGGAGTATGTGAGTCCCCGAGGAGAGGGAAAAGGTCAGGTGACAGCAGCAAACAGATGAATGGAGCACAGCGCAGCAAAGGCTGTAATTCATATAAACATAAGATGCTACGAGGGCAGCCTGGAGAGTGGAACCTAAGCCTTGACAGGGGGGAAGTCAGGGCAGCTTCTTGGAGGAGGTGACCTCTGAGCTAGCACCCGAGCAATGAGAAGGGATCCAAGAAAAGAAGATAGTGGAGCGGGAAGGGAGGTCCACGGAAAGGAGACAACAATGTGCAAAAGTGACCAAATGGTTTTCTTAAGAGACCACAGCCTCTATCAAACCGCCCTCCTGGAAGTGGGGTGGGGCCTCTGGTGGACTGAGCTGGCCTCACTGGGACAGTGACAGAGGACGCCTGGGGCACTGGTGCCACCTGATCTCTCCACTTGGATATCCCACAAGCATCTCAAACTTATAAGACCAGGAAGGGACTCGATTTTCCTCAGAAACCTGTTCCCCACTCAGGTCTCCTCCATCCTGGAACATGGCATCATGATATACACCCCATTTCTCAAACCGAAGACCTAGGAGCCCCCCTTTATTCTTCCCATGTGTCATGCCCCACATGCAGTCACCAATAAGCCCTGTGGACTCTCCCACAAACACACCCCACTCCATCCACGGGCCTTCGCCTCCTCTCATTCCACTCCAGGCCACTGTCTGGATAACCTCATAGCACCCCTTTCAGCCTCCCTGCTTCTACTCTTGCCCCCCAACAATCCGTTCTCCAGAATGAACTTTCAAAAACAGAACACAACTCTCCCCTCTTCCAGACCTTCCAACGACTTCTTACCCTCTTAGAACAAAACCCGCCCCCTGGGGTCTGTGTGCAGAGCTCCATGCACCTGGCTCCTGGGATCTCTGTTGGGCGTCCCTATGTGCTCTGGCCCGCAGCCTTCTTGTTCACCTTTGCCTGGCTTCCCTTCTTGCCATTTGGAATCCAGTTAGGATTCTGCGTGCAGCCTCTTTCACCCCTTTTCTCTCTACCAATGACTCCGAAAACCGAGTCCAGCCCAGCTCTCACTGAGCACTGGACTCGGGCACCATGTGTCTCCTGGACTGTGGTGTCTCCCTGGGTGTCCCACAGACACCAACTCGGCTTCCCAAGCTGCGTTTGCATTTCCCCGATCTCTTCTTCCTTCTGCATTCTCCGTGACTGGTCCCCATTACCCAAGTGG